GGCCGATGCCTCTTCTGACAACCAGAGCAACCATTCTTTTAGGTACATGGAACGTTCGTACATCGTGGGAGACTGGAAGTCAGTCAGTCAGTCAGATGCAACTGGAAGACTATTGGAAGTTGCGGCAGAAATGAAAAGATACAACCTCGAGGTGCTCGGCATCAGTGAAACGCATTAGACACAGGTAGGACAACTGAGACTAGCTTCAGGGGAACTGCTGTTATACTCTGGTCATGAAGAAGGAAATGCTTCACATACACAAGGAGTTACACTGATGCTGTCCAAACATGCACAAAAGGCACTAATAGGATGGGAATCTCATGGACCCAGCATCATTAAAGCATCCTTCAAAACAAAGAAAGAGGACATAACAATGAATGTCATTCAATGCTATGCATCTACCAATGACTACAATGACGACGTTAAAGATCAATTCTACGAAAGGCTGCAGTCAATCGTCGACAGATGCTCACCAAAGGATTTGACCATTCTGATGGGAGACCTAAATGCCAAGGTTGGAATGGACAACAGTGGATATAAAGACATCATGGGACGCCATGGACTGGGAGAAAGGAACGAAAACGGTGAGAGATTTGCAAACCTATGTGCCTTCAACAAACTGGTCATTGGCAGCACAATATTCCCACACAAACGCATACACAAAGCCACATGAATTTCACCAGACCACACTACTCAAAACCAAATTGACCATATCTGTATCAACAAAAAGTTCAGAAGGACCATGGAGGATGTGAGAACCAAGAGAGGAGCTGATATAGCCTCAGGCCACCACTTGCTGATCGCCAAAATGAAACTGAAATTAACGAAGCACTGGACAACGGGGCAGACAACATCACAGAAGTTTAATACGGCCTTTCTTCGGGATACCGTAAAACTCAACGAATTCAAGATAGCCCTTACCTATAGGTTCCAGGCCTTGTATGATATACTCAATGGAGAGGCAGCAACATTAGAGAACAATTGGAAAGGGATTAAGGAGGCAATCACTTCAACATGTCACGAAGTTCTGGGTCACAAGAAGTACCATCACAAGGATTGGATGTCCGTTGGTACTCTTGCAAAAATTGAAGAATGGAGGATCAAGAAGGCAGCAATCAATGTCAGCCGAACAAGAGCGGAGAAAGTTACCGCACAAACTGCATACACAGAAGCAAACAGGGTAGTGAAGAAGAGCATCAGAGCTGACAAACGAAAATATGTGGAAGATCTAGCAATGACGGCGGGAAAGGCTGCAAGAGACGGAAACTTGAGACAATTGTACGAAACAACTGAGAAGCTCGCACGAAACTACCGTAAACCAGAACAACCAGTGAAAAGCAAGGAAAGCAAAGTAACCAGCAACACTGAAGAACAGCGAACTAGATTGGTAGAGCACTTTCAGGAACTCTTGAATCGATCAGCTCCACTGAACACACCCAACATCGAAGCACCATCTACGGACCTCCCAATCGATGTTGGCGCACCTACGATTGAGGAGATCAGTATGGTTATCAGACAAATCAAGAGCGGCAAAGCAGCAGGACCAGACAACATTCCAGCAGAGGCAATGAAAGCAGATGTAGAAATAACTGCGAAAATATTTCACATCCTCTTCAAGAAGATTTGGGAAGAGGAACAAGTACCATCAGATTGGAAAGAAGGATACCTGATCAAAATACCAAAGAATGGCGATCTCAGCAAGTGTGAGAACTACAGAGGCATCACTCTTCTTTCAATACCAGGCAAAGTCTTCAACAGGGTATTGTTAAACAGAATGAAGGACTTCGTAGACGCGATAGATGCGATAGAAGTATCGCACACGCAACAACAAATGCAAGAGAAGACGACTAGTGTAGCAGCAGCCTCTGCAGCAGTAGGTCTCAACATACATAAAGGAGAAAGCAAAATTCTCCGATGCAACACAACATGCACCAACCAAATCACTCTTGATGGAGATGCCTTAGAGGACGTTAACACGTGTACATATCTTGGCAGCATCATCGACGAGAAAGGTGGATCCGATGCAGATGTGAGGGCGCGGATTGGCAAAGCAAGAGCTGCATTTCTACAGTTGAAAAATATCTGGAACTCCAAACAACTTTCAACGAAAACTAAAATCAGGATTTTCAATACAAATGTTAAGACAGTTGTACTGTATGGAGCGGAAACTTGGAGAACTACCAAAGATACAAGTGTTTATGAACAGTTGTCTACGCAAAATACTTCGGATTCGTTGGCCAGACACGATCAGCAACAACGTACTGTGGGAGAGAACAAACAAGATTCCAGTGGAGGAGGATATCAGGAAAAAGCGGTGGAAGTGGATAGGACACACTGCGAAAAGCAGCTAACTGCGTCACAAGACAAGCCTTCACGTGGAACCCTCAAGGTAGAAGGAAAAGAGGAAGGTCAAGGAACACATTACGCCGAGAAATAGAGGAAGATATGAGAAGAATGAACAAACATTGGACAGAGCTGGAAAGGGAAGCTCAGGACAGAGTTGGTTGGAGAAAACTGATGGGCGGCCTATGCTCTATTGGGGGTAACAGGCGTAAGTAAGTAAGTCATTCTATCAAGACCCTCTGCCCTCCCCCGCTTCAGATTTCCTATCTCTTTCTCAACTTCATAAAGAGTCGGGGGACTTACGTCGATTTGCCACTCAGGATGACTGGAGATCGTGGGTAACCGAAGTGTGGCTGAAGGCCAGTTGAACTGATCCCTAAGGTGTTCTGCCCATCGGTCTAGTCTCCTGCATTGGGAATGGATAATAAGACCATCCTTTTCCGAGATAGTCTCACTCACATTCGGGTTCTTAATACCAGTTTCCTTGATGAGTCTGAATAGTTGCCTATTGTTGCCTATCGCCACTGCCTTTTCCACCCCTCTCGCTTCTGCCACCCACCACTGCTTGCGGTCTTTGCGAAGGCCTTCTGTCAGCCTAAGCTGACTCCGCTCCTCATCACATTCAGAGCCAGGTGGGATGAGTTTTCGAGCATCCATCAGTTCGGTAGATGGTACTGAGATCCACGGCTTCTCCTTAACCTTATGGTTTACCTTGCTAGCAGATATCACTGCCGTTTCTACAGCCTTTTTGATATTATTCCAACCTGCTTCCGGATGGAGATCACTTATATGGTCACCCAACTGTTTTTCTAGCTGTTCCTGAAATATATTCTTAGCTTTATTATCATTAAGTAGAACCCTAAGAAGTTTCCTCGTGGTGTGTTTCCTACGTCCAGTAAGCCTCAAACAAATACGCGCTCTCACTAGAGCATGATCTGAATCTAGGCACGTACCCCAAAACAAGCGATAGTCCTCTATCGAACCCCTCCATCGGTGGCTGATGGCGATGTGATCTAGTTGGGTCTAACGTTGAGACGACTTCGGGGGTCGCCAGGCCAAAAGGTGCTTTTCCTTATGCCTAAAGTTGGTTATCTGAGCATAGTTACAACAGACGGTCACCATTGTCTGTTCTCTGAGCTACGACTAATATCTGCAACTTAAGGTCTGAGGGCAAAGTCTTTCTACTGACTGAAGATGGTTATGACAGCAGTAAAGTGTTTCCCTCAGACAACCAGCATCTGCAGCGATACTGCCTTCTCACAAAGGAAGAAATGGTTTAAGAATGGTTAACCCTAAAATTATCACACCTAACCTTACCCCACGGATCTTCTTTGATGGCAAGGCCTTTAGAAGAGCGGACCCCACATGTTAAAAACTTCCCGTAAAAAGACCGGGCGTGACCGGCCACAAGTTCCTCAGGTCGGTAAGACCGATGATAATCCGTCGTTCTTTTCAGGTTAATCCAGCGATGCCCTTCCACATTGTGCGCAACCGTGAAGTGACATCCTCCACATACCCGCAACACCACACAAGATTAATTTGCTCCCAATCAATTCCTTCCACCACCTCCTAACAACTTCTCTACATACATGACTGACTATTCTGTCATTACTATATCAACTCACACCGCTGATGTAAACGAATTGAATACAAGAAACGTTATTCCCGGTGGTATCCTGAAACCCCACTCTAAACTACATGTTGGAGCTCCCAATGTTTGGACCTTGTATCAAATAGAGCAACAGGATGCCTTAGCTAAGACTAGGATCTAGCGCCATCAATGTATGCTGCATCTCCGAAACGCGCATACAGGATCCGAGTAGAATCATTCACTTCACCTCACCATGTCAACATAAAGAACAATCTTGATTTACGCCTCATGTATCAAGAAGAAACACTACTGCTTCCCATGACCTCACTTGTGTAGTTATAACATTGAGTTCTGAAACAGAACTAGCTCTCCTAGACTGAATTCTAGTAGATAGTCACTTGTGCACTTCTTGACTAAGCGGGATGTTAAGGACTCGGAAAGATAGAAATACTCATCATTGCCTCTTCGTCGTATCTGCCTACGCTCAAGCTGACTGCAAGTCAGATGAGGTAAAAGATGAATTTTACCGAAAACTTTCTAACCTTCACAATTTCAAGCGCTCTGATGTAGTAATAGTGGGTGGTGATCTTAATACTCAAGTAGGTAGACTAAACGAAACTGAAAGACGCCTGAGTGGATCTTATGGTGTTGAATGTTCTATGTCACTATGGTAATGCGGTATGGCAACTTGGACTGATTTATGTACGTACCAAGTTCTATGTTGTAGCTTAATGATTTAGCTTCTACTAATGTCAGATGTGATAACTTGGACATTTGTACTAGGCACTACGTAGTCTATAAGTGAGTGCCCACTTGGTCTTCCTCTGTTGAACTTAGCATCTGTATTTATTTGAATAATAATCTAGAATTATAGGTGTAGTGTTCTACAGTCTACTATATGGAATCTAGTCTGATTCACTTCTGTTTGTATAACCAGCAGCACCACATTGCTTCCGCCGCTTATATTGAACTTACGAATAAACTCGTATACCCAGTGACTATTTGACTTATATTAAAACATTAGTTTCCATTGTGTATTTTTTAAAACTTGTTTTTTTTTTAAAAGACGATATTATTGATACTCTAGATCCTGTTCCACTTCAACATGCTTTGGAACCATTGCCTAGTTCATTAGTATTAAACGAAATCAACTATCCAGATCTAGAAAGATTAACTATTGAAAAGAGAGAAGTCGAAGCAACAATCTCAACATCGCTAATCAGTGAATCTGAGTAAGAATACAGTGATTTTTTTTGTGTTGATTTTATACACATTACTTCCTAGTTTAATTTTGAAACATAATTTTTTTTCATAGTTTACATTTCTAGAGAAGTGACTTCTTGATGATGATTCGAGGAAGGCATTCAACTTTTCTACTACTAACACTCAGTCATAGGTTATTATTATTATTATTATTGTTACTGTTATTTAGTTACTTCAAGTTCAACTTTGCTTTACTTGTTATGTTTTAATAAAATAGTAAGATGATTAGAATGTGTGTATCGTGTGTATTTATTTGTATCATGTTTTTTGTATTTTATTTTTTCAAAAAATAAAAGTAATCCTACCGCATTGAAACAACTGCCTCCTTCTACATCGAATATCTACACTGTTGTAAGTCATTCATCATCATTATCATCGTTATCATCATCAACGTCATCATCATCATCATCAGTGAATCAATCGATTTATGTAGATACACAACGTATTCGACTATTGGAAAATCGTGTTCATCAAATAGAGCTGGAATTAATGAGACGTCAACTTACGGAGAAATTATTTTTTATAACTTTTGGAGGTTATTTTCTTATCAAATTCTTACGGGTATTATTTTGCTAGTTTTGTTTAATGTTTTTTCTTTTTTACTTCCGTTTGTAAATTATTATTATTGTTGTTGTCGTTATCATTGTCTATATTTTAATGACAATATTGTAATTTTATTTGTTTTGTATTGATGCATTTCACAAAACACAATTCAATAGTAGTAGTAGTAGTAGTAGCAGTAGTAGTAGTACAAGTATTAGAGTACCACTACTGGTTGTAAAAGGTGTTTATAAATAATCTGAAATTGTACAAATCATTTCGATGATAATAACCAATTAATTGTTCATAATTAATAATTTAGTGATATGATTTGATATGATGATGTTTGACAAAATTTCAATATTAAATAATTTTATTCCATTTTATTAATGAAGTTATTTGGTATAACTTTGAAGGTGTATCATATAGGAGTGAAAGTGAAAATTGATTTATTGCGGTTGGTTTACGCATTTTAAATAGTGGTTGAAGAAAATCAATTTTGTGAGTCTGGTCGTCGGTCAGTCAGCTACAGCGTAGAACTATACGTGCGTAGAACGTTTGTATATTATTCCAAGTTGTCATACCACATTAGTACAGAGAGATGGAATTGTCAATCCAGATCTCATAGTGGTAAAGGTATTAGCGGTAATCGAAGAGATTAGGATTCGATATTATTATTCAAGAAGTATAATCTAGTGAAATAAACTACCTACTTGAGCATTGAAGTCACCACCCACTATTACTACATCAGAGCGCTTGAAATTTTGAAGGTTAGAAAGTTTTCGGTAAAATTCATCTTTTACCTCATCTGAGTTGCAGTCAGCTTGAGCGTAGGCAGATACGACGAAGAGGCAATGATGAGTATCTCTATCTTTCCGAATCCTTAATATCCCGCTTACTCAAGAAGTGCACAAGTGACTATCTACTAGAATTCAGTTAGAACTCAGTCTAGGAGAGCTAGTTCTGCTTCAGAACTCAATGCTATAACTACACAAGCGAGGTCATGGGAAGCAGTAGTGTTTCTTCTTGATACATGAAGCGTAAATCAATATGGTTCTTTATGTTGACATGGTGAGGTGAAGTGAATGATTCTACTCGGATCCTGTATGCGCGTTTTGGAGATGTAGCATACATTGATGGCGCTAGATCGCAGTCTTAGCTAAGGCATCTTGTTGCTCTATTTGATACAAGATCCAAACATTGGGAGCTCCAACATGTAGTTTAGAGTGGGGTTTAAGGATACCACCGGGAATAACGTTTCTTGTACTCAATTCGTTTACATCGGCGGCATGAGCTGATATGGTAATAACAGAATAGTCAGTTATGTATGTAGAGAAGTTATTAGGAGGTGATGGGAGGATTTGATTGTGAGCAAATTAATCTTGTGTGGAGTTGCTGGTATGGGGAGGATGTCACTTCACGTTTGCGCACAATGTGGAAGGGCATCGCTGGATTAACCTGAAGAGGACGACGGATTATCATCGGACTTTGCAACCTGGTAGCGTGAGTAGAAAGTACGAAGACCAACTTCTTGAGGTCGATCACACACGTTTCTTTTGTGGTTAATTTTTGACATGTCATCCCGCCCTAGTTAGAAGGCCTAACCACTAGACGGAAATCGATGGGGCAACGTGACGCCATCGCTGCAAATGCTGATAGTTCGAAGGAAGTACTTTAATACTGTTGTACCCGTATACAGTCAGTAGTAAGACCGCCCTCAGTACTTGGTTTGCAGCTTTTAGTCTCAATGTTCTCCAGGTATGGTAGGACCTAAAGGAACATGTATCATCGGAGAAAATGTCTCTGTATGGGTTATCACGATGGGCAAGCTCGTCCAGGTTGTCCACCAAAGTCATGGGTTTAAAGTTTTTTTTCTTGTAATAGTTTAGACATTCTCATTTTAGTCATTAATCAACACACTATATGGCCTAAATCTTGTGCTATGTTCTCCATTAGGGAAATTTGATTATTTTCGTTTAATCGATTTTCTGTACACTTGTTTTCTCACTATGATTCTCATGTTCTCATCATCAATATTTCTAACTTAAAAGCTATTTGTAAATTCTTTGAAATTCATCCTTGTGTAATTTATCATTACTATGAGTTGTATTTAATTGTGCTCAAATCCGAGCAAAGTAGTAACGGGTCAAGGTTAAGTCAGTGGTAATTACTCCATGTTATAAAAGAGAACTGCGTTAAAAGAAATAATCGCTAGTGGGTTGTATTGTTTTGAACAGCTATTTGTTAGTTTCAGTATCACATTGTATATTTATGTTGCTTCAATGTGGAACTAGTCGAATTTCTGTGAAGTGGAATGTGTTTATAATTTCTTTCTAACAATAGTTGAACTAAAAAGAGGTTAGTAAATTTCTTAAACTCATAAGCTTTAGAAATAAATGACAGTTGGTACTGATGCTGACTAGAATCTTGGAAGTAAATGTACTAGAGAATCAAAGATAAGATACGGACTTTATTACTTCTTACGCCTGTTACCCCCAATGGAGCATAGACGGCCGACCAGCATTCCACAGCCTACTCTGTTGTGAGACGTCCTTTGTAGTTCTATCCAATTATAGTTCATTCTCCTAATGTCTGTCTCCATTTCACGGCGTTATATCTTTTCCTTTGACTTTGAGTATTGCGACTGAGGGCTTGTCTTGTTGCGCAGTCGGGTGCTTTCTTCAATATGTTTCCTATCCACCCACAGCTCTTCTTCCTGATTTCTTCCTCTCCTGGAATCTGGTTTGTTCTCTTTTTCATCTTAAAATCTAACCAGTCAAAAATGAAGGAAATTCAAGGCAGATAGATATTTAATCATTGATTTCTTTCTTTTTCAAAGAAAACAATAGTTGAGTCATCTGACTATGGGAAATAAAGCATGTGACTATTTTAATTACCTTTAAATTTCAACTTATCCAACTATAAATCTCATTATTAAGTTATGATTAATAAGTTTACCAAATGTGTATCTAATTAGTCGGTCTAAAAATGTTGGAAATAATGATCGATTACAACAATAGTTCCTTTTTTATCGAGTTTTTCTTTGGCTACTTATGAGTAGATATAAAACTTGCGAGAAAATATTTTATTAGACTCCGTTCGGAAAATTAATACATAGTTGGGTCCTTAAAAGGTCTCTATCTTTGAATTAGTTAGCAAATCGAAACCAACGGTCTGTTAATAGTCGGATCTATTATTTCTGGAATAGTTTCC